AAAAAAAAAATTTGTTTTTAAATTTTGCTCAAAAAAAAGGATATGTGATCATAATGGAGATGACAAAAACTGAAGTTGATGTGATCAAAAAAAAGCACCAACAGTTCACTTATATCTGATTAATTTTTGTCAGAATTTTTTCTTTTTGCTATTTTTTAGCACAATTTATTTTTAAATTTTTTTTTTTCAAAATTTAAAGATCAAAAGCGAAAAAAAAGAAGCAAAAGAAAATAGAGAGCAAATTCACTAACTGCTCAAAAATGGAAAAAAAGAGCATTTGTATTCTGCAAATTTTTTTTTACTTTAATTTAGGCTGTATTATATGTTTCTTTTCCTTTTTTTTCCAGTTCAGTATAAGTCGACCACTGTTATAACAAATGTCTCTTCAACAGCAATTTAAATGATTTGTATAATTGTTTAAAAGTTTTATCTACATGAAAAACTTTTTTTTTCTCAGTTTCAATACCAAAATATTTTGCAACTAATCTTCAGTTTTCAATTTTTCTGCTTTTACAACTATTTGGGTATAAACATTGCATTTATAAAACAGTTCTTATTCTTCATTTCTCATTCCTCATTCTTCATTCTTTTTGAAGTCTATTTCTTTTTTTTGCCGTTTTTACTTTGATATACTTCTTAACAGTATGGCACAGCTGTATGACAGTTGATAAACATTGACTGTTACATCGTTTTTGTTGTTGTTCTAAGCATTAAATTTTTGATAAATTTAAGGAAAGAAAAAAGTTTTGGTTGCCACCAGGAGCTCAACTGAGTTTTTTGTTTTTGTTTTGCAATTTTTTTAGCTGTTGGTTTCTCTTTTTTTAGTTGTTTATTTATTTTTTTTTCATCGTTAGCATACAGCGTAATGTATAGAAGTTTGTATAGAAATATACAGAAACAAAATATCAAACTTTCCAAATACTGACAATTGGTTTTTTGCATATAATCAACTGAAAGTTTGTCAGTGTTCTCAGAATTTATGATGACATCAAAGTAAATCAAAGTCAAATTTGGTTGTGCGTTTATCGGCCAACCAATCAAAAATTATTTACTTAATTACTGCCAAATTAGCCAAAATTTACTGTCTGTAAAGCGTTCAAAAAAGTTTGATATTTTGTTTAAATCGTCTAAAACGAATCAGTTATTAAAAATTTTTGTTTTAGAGTGGAGTTTTTTAATTTTATACAAAAAAATTATTTTTTATCTTTATTTCATTTTATTTTTATTGTTATGGGTATATTTTGCAAAAACAAAAAAAAGCTTTTTTTTTTCAAATTTTAATTTATTTTTGTAAATGCCTACTTTTTTTGCGGCATTTGTAAACTATACATATTTACAATAAAATATGAGTTGAAAAACTGATTGACCTAAAAACAGCAACAACAACAAGAACTATTATAATAATTATATTATTTATGTTTTCTTTATGAAATTGTAACTGTATGGAAAATCTCTAATCTTTGACAATACTTTTAACAGCAATTTTAACTTTTGGTTAAATGCTAATGAAGCAGCCAAACATATAATCGCATTTAGGCGAGCGACATTCTTTAGCCGAACACTGTCACTAAGACCAGATAATAAATAAGAAAAAAATCAAGTCAAAAATCTACGTATTGTTTACAGATGAACTTTTTTGTAATTATACCTATGTGTGCTCAAATAAATAAAAAACCTACTTATATCACTAAAAATCTTCAATTATTCTAGTTTGAATAAAATTTATTGAAAAAGCAACTACTGTTAATTTTATTGTTAATTTGCGTAGCTTTTTAGATTTGTCATCACTCTTTTGACTCTTCAATTGACCTATTACCGCTGTTGCTGCTGCTGCCGCTGCTGCTGCTACTGATGACAGTATAGATTGATGTTTGATAGTAACTGTGGCAATGTTTCTGATGTAATAGTCAATCGTTTATTGCTGAAATTTGATTAGTCGGTTAACTAACTATTATTTTACCAACTTTAGGGCATGAGGTTGCCGGAATTGGTGGAGATGAGCATAACAGTTCAAAATGATGTAACGTCAAAACATAGTAGTGGTATGGGCTGGATTATTACAGCATTCTTGCTGGTAGCTGAACTTGTCGGATCTGGTGTTGTTGCACTTCCAGCAGCTATTTTACGAACAGGTCAAACACTGTCAATGATCATTGCGATCTATATCTCACTTTTTCTAAGCTCAACTAATAAAATAAATTTAATAAATGTTGAATAAAATGAGAATTAATAATGCACTTAAAAATTTAAAATCTAATTATTCTGATAGCTTTGGCGAACAATTACAAAAGAATTGTGCCATAGAAAGCGGCAAAACTGCTTTTTTTAATTACCGGTCGTTTTTATCATTTTGACTTTTCCATAAAACATTGAAGATATAAAAAATAGGTAGCAAAATTTTCCAACATGTTGAACATTTTTAGATGTTGAAATTATAACTTTTATCGATATCAGCTGAATAAATGCTACAGAACAAGTGTTGACTATTCTGAATTTTTTCCTTCACTACAAATGAATATTCCAGGCATTGAAATAGGCATCATATATATGGTTATACTGATTGTATTTTTTGCTTATACTGGTCAACAGATTGGTGACTGCTGGGTTACGATGATTAAAAGATGGCCGATCTATCAGCAACACTGCAGGAAACCGTATCCTGAAATTGCACTTCGATGCATGGGAAAACGTGCTAGGTATATTCCAAGAAAAAAAAAACCTGAATATTTTGTACTGAATACTTCAGTTTATTGATCTTTCTTTTGCTACACTACGCTGATAAGCGTCAATTATTTAAAGTAACAAGCATCAATCAATAAGCGTCAAAAGTTAATGACATTGATGTGCATTGACAGAACATATGACAACATTTTCGCAACATTTCGTTTCAATAATATTCAAAAAAAAAATGCTTACTGACCTGTTAGAAACATAAAAAGTAAGAAATATTTTTTCTCCAAGCCAACATTTATTGGTATTTTTTTTACAGCGAGTAATAGAAAAAACAATTTTTTTTAGAACTGTCACCGAAGTTTGTCTTTACCTGACACAATTTGGTGTTTGCGTAGTATTTTTGCTTTTGCCGGCTGAGATATTGCAAAATATTTTGGCTGCTTGGAGAGTAAAAGTCAATGTTTGTTATTTGTTGGTTGCCGTTGCTTTATGCATCTCACCAGCAACATTTTTGAGATCACCAGCCAATTTTTGGTGGGTGTTCAGTTGTTACGATAAAACTGCAAGCAATTATTTTGTTCTCAACAGAGTATTATTAAGTAAATGACTGTTTTCTGAACAAAAAAAAAAGCCAGTTTTTGTTTTTCTGAAAAATGATTTTTATTCAGGTGGATTATGATGATTGCTGTAACAGGCACAGTTTTAGCAGTCGTTTTAATAGCAATTGGAGTGAGCATAGATCTTGGAGTATGTCAAAAGGTTGCTGTATATCCAAACACCAATTTTTTTACTGCATTATTCTCTCTTGGCACATTTATGTTCACACTATGCGGACATGCATACTTTCCAACAATACAGCATGATATGAGAAGACCAGAAGATTTTACCAAATCTGTTATTCTTGGTTTTATACGTTAGTTTATATATTCGTGTCTTTATCACTGTAAAAGTAGAATCTCGACAAGTGTGTTTTATTTGGAAATTAGGCACATAATTATTTGATTTAAGCTTTAAATAAAACTTTAAAAGTTTTTGAAACAGTTTAATTTTATTCGTATCATTACTTTTCTTTAATTTGCAAAGGTGTTGGGAAGGTGAGGTCTTCAGTAGAAGCAGCAGGTTAAAGGTCTCGGTCAGATCAAAATAAAAAGAAACTTCAATGCTATTTAAAGCAATGCAAAATAAACTTCAAGAATTATAATATTTATTGTAGTGGTAGGCCTGTTATATTTACCGTTGTCATTGTATTCTTATGTCGTTTACGGTGACAGTCTTCGAGCTTCTGTGATCAGCTCTATTCAAACTTCTTGGATTCGAATTGTAGCAGATTTTGGAATTGGCATACACTGTTTTTTGACATCAGTTTTGGTGCTAAATCCTTTGCAGCAAAAAATGGAGCATGTTTTCAATGCGCCACATAGTAAGCAACACAAATGTAGCCTAACAATAATTCTAATTTTTTTTCAAAGCATAGAAAATCGACACTAATGCAGAGTTCTAGGTTTCTCGCTTCAACGTGTACTTATCAGAGTCGGCGTAATCGCTGCTGTATTATTGGTTGCACTATCAATACCAGATTTTTCACCGGTAATGGACATCCTTGGAAGTGCTATATTGCCGATTACGACAATTTTTATGCCTATTTTGTTCAATATGTGGCTACATGCAGCTCGGATTGAAACGTCTAATAAAGAATATGTGATCCCAACAGTAAAACAGTTAGTTTATACCTATTATGTTTCGATAACGTCATTTATTTTCAATAAGCTACCAAATATTTTTACAGTTTTGTACAAATTAATTATTTTTTAAAACTTTTGGTGAACTGCTCTGGTCTTTTTACCAGCTAGACGACAGGTAACTTTTGACGTGGCAATTGTTAGATTTAAAAAAAATAATTGTGGCATTGCAGAGTATTGGCACGAACATCAAAAGCAAAAATTGCATGGAACGTTTTTATTATAGGTATGCCAGAAATAATAATCAATCAAAAATGATTAAGTTTAGCTGTCAAGTAGGTTAAGTTCAACACCGTTCTGTTGAGCATGAGATTTATTGCAACTAACTTCTGTACGAAAAAAAGAAACAATTTTCTGTTTTTAGTAACAACTGTAATCGGTTCCGCAATTGCTTTGTATATGGCAATCAAAAACTTTATCACTGTGGAATTTAAACTCCCGTGTTACATAAGACCATCGTCTCTGTCAACAGCAGAAGACGCAAATGTTGTGAACTGTTGCGGTCCATCACGTAGTGTTAGCATTTATAGTAATTCTTCATCATGTTATGGAACTACTCTGGTAACCTTATGAGACTTGTCAAAAAAAAAAAGCGTATTTATGACGCTGGGTGAAAGCAAAAGAAAAATTTTCTTGATAAAACATCAAATTGGTAGTGATATGATAAAATGAATAATTGTAAAAAAAAAATCAGTCTGTGTGCACAAATTTCTTTTTCCTTCGAAATTTGTATCACTTTGTTAAACGTTGTCTGAAACATTAAGTTCTGTTTTGAGAACTATCATCATCACAGTTATGAAAGACGAAACTGGGTTTTGTACTCACTTTTCTCAATTTTACATATTTGCACAATATTTTTGCTTGGGATAATATTCCTCAAGTGTGAATTTCTTAAGAATTCTTTATTTTAACAGTATTTGTTTACATACTGTCTAACACCTGTAATATCTGTATCTTTCGCAACATATTTTTATGCAAAACTGTTCTATTTTCTTTTTCAAAGACAAATCCTTAGTGATTATTTTTAGCTTTGTAGAACTCAATGTATTTCAGGAATATTTTTTACACGTAATTTTGTTCTATAAATATGCGCTTCTTGTGACCTCATAATGTACAAATCTGTGTTTCAATGGTAGTCATTTGAGCAAATAGTGTCATTATATCTAAGTGTGATATCTCGGTGAAAGATAAAGTGCTTTTTAAGTTTATCTTTAATCGAGAATATTTTATCAAACACTTGAAAAATTCAACAAAACAGTATTTTCTAAACAAAAAAAACATAACAGTATTAGGAAATAAGAAAAAGAAAAATTTGATAATAATATAGGAACTAACAAATTAAAGTTGAAATTTTTTGCACTTAATTGTGGCTTATTTTTTGCTCTGTAAATTATTTTATTTTAGTAAAAAAAAATTTTTTTTGCCATCATAATTTATTTCTGCTTATAACATTACAAATAAACTTATTATAACTGAAAATTCATTTTTGCTATATGTTGTTATTCATTTCAATTACAAATGTTGAGATTTAATTCAGATAATTGAAAAATTTCTCTGTAATATAGCTTAGTGGTTAACAATTACAACGTACAACTAAGAAGTTCCAATCTACTTATTTAGATCAAACCGAGTTACGTCAGATAATCTGTTCAGGGGTCGGTAGCCAAGTATAACATCGTTTTGACTGTTCACCATTGTTTATCGACGGACAATGGAATGCATTACTAAAAGCAGCAAAATTTGACAACGGCCCTATTACACGGTATTTCAGCGGGCTGTATTTTGAATTGGTGATTAATTCCATATGCAGTTCCTCTATTTGAGGTGGCTTACGACAAAAGTTTTGAGCATAAGCCAAAAAAAAAAGTTGATCATGTGTTAACTGTCGTAATTTTGGATGTGGAAGTCGGGGATCTTGTCCATAAAAAGAGATTTGATTTCGATAAGCCATGTATGCAGCGACAACTCCTAAAAGTCAAAATGCATTTTTAAAAAAAAATTCAATTACGTGAGTTAAACCAATGTCACGCTCTAAACTGTGTTTCCTCTGTTAAATAAAATTTAATTTAGGTAATCGTATAAAATAAACAAAGACCACTAAGACACCTATCGTTTCGCACGGAGTTGTCTTATCCTACTATAATTTGAAAGCAGATAAGTAACCGCTTTTAACAACCTGCATTGTCTGCCATATTTTCTAGCATTGAGCTGTAACCATCTAAGCACTCCGGTTGCAAACCAGTGCCGTTTAACGGGCAGTACTGCCGATACTGTTTGATTAAGCATTCCTCCATATCGCTCTGTTTCTTATACAAGGTTTTTGAATAAACCTTCTCAATCCATGGATATCGCTTTGGTAATTCAGCAAAACTATGCACTAATTCATGGCCGATAGCAGATCCAAGAGTTCCATAGATTACTGACAGTGGCCATTCATAGTCGAAAAATGGTCTCGACAATAGCGTATATGCAATGCTAATTTTTTTTTCTACAAACTTTAATACCACAAATGTCATTCAGTTTCGGAATTTCTTTGTTTTCCAGATAAAATTTTTGGGAAAAAAATTGACGAAAAATGTGACAAAAATATTAGCTTTCTGAAGATTAATTTCTTTAGCAAATTGTTCACTAAATAAGTTTGATAATGCATTTAGTGTAATAATTCAAAAAAGCCACATTATCCTCCAAAAAACAATTTTTTTGAGTTTTCTGACTGTGAACTTACTTGAATTTTTAATGGTTAAGCAAATTCAAGAGCGTACATCATAGCGAATATCGTCAGCAGATATAAGCCTTCCAAGTTTATACAAACTTCCATTAGCTAGTAGTTCATAAGAAATCGCGAACTTGAACTGTAGTAATTTTTCGTGCATTTCAAAATAAGTGTCAGTTTCTTCAAACTTCATGTCGCTGTAACGTGAATTCAAATAATTGTCATGCGCGTACACCGGATACCTGGCAGCTATGTCAACTTTCTGTAGTTCCTTTTTAATCGTGCCAAAAGATGCATCATCGTCCGCAAAAGTATATCTAACCATCGCAATCAGTGAATCTCTTATATTACTCATCAAGTCTTTAAGAAACCTAAAAAAATTTCTTTACAAATTAAGAAGAAAGAAAGTGTCTTGTTCTAGAGATATTTTTTCATGCCGGACAATTTGTAATTTTGTTTACCTGATACGCTAAGGAAAAATTTGTAACATTAATAAGTTTAAATTTTAAACACTTCATGCGATAACTCAATAATTTGGTCAGCTTTGCTGAACCCACGTAAAAATGTTTCCAAAGAATTAAGAAAACAAACTCATCAAGATAAAGTTTATCTTCTTCGTCGATAGTGACTAAGTCAAGTCGATCAGCCACTTCTTGTATGTTAATTTTGGTTCGCTGGAAGCATTTCCATTTCGTGTTCAATAGTATAGTTTCTTGAGAACGTTGCTTTCCAGTAAAACTTATGTTTAAAGAACTATTCTTTCGTTCTTGCTTTTTTGCTTTTAAGCAAGGTTTTTTTAAAAGCGTCAAGTAGTTTCTTCGTGACATTATCAGTCGATAAAAAAAGTAATTGATTATAATTCGTGGTTGAAACTTGCTGTAAAAATCCCTGTTCAGCTTCTGTAATACGTCTTTTCGAGCCAATACTGACCGATTGCTATCAGCAAAATAGTCATTAATGTATTTACTATTTTCAGAAAGAACTTGAAAATATTCTTTAAAATCCATAAATCCATATTCATCGAAATTTTCAACAAAACATTCTGCCGTACTGTAACATTCACCATCAAGAATTTCATCAGTGCTGTATTCTTTAGCAATGGTAGCTTCCAAATTTATCATATCCCCAGCAAATTTCAAAATGTCTTCGTTAGACAAAGAAATCTAAAAACAAATACGTAGTTTACGTCAAACAACCTCCAAATGTTTTAATTGTCAAAGAAGATAAAAAATATGTTATCAATACTTTGATCAATACTTTTTCCAATAAAGAGCTTAGGAAATATTAACTAATTAAATCTGTAGCTTAATAGTAAGATTCAGAACCGAAGCTTACGTTCATTGCAGTGCAGAATCTAGTTATTGTATCTACTATACTAAACATGTAGTTCTGCAGTTGGCTAACACCAGTTCTGGCAAATGTGGTGGCCGGTATATACAGTGTACTCTGGTCTATGAAAAGCATATACTGCGGCCTTTGTAAAAAATCGTTGAATATTAGGGAAGGCGTAATCAGTGTATCAACATGAAGAGTAGAGAGAACCGCCACCGCTTTGGCAAGGGCTTTTGGAGTCAAAATTTGTTCTTTTCTAGCTCCACTGGTGTTGCTGACCGTATAGGGAAAATGAAATCCAGTTGACATTGAGAAATTTTTGATCAACTGTCGAAAAATTGCGATTACATCTGAACTCTTACATCCGTCGATAGTCGAAGAAACACAAGCGTCATAGTATCGTTTTGCTTTTCCAACGAAACTAGGCTATAAATAACAAAGAGCCATTGAGTGGTAAGCTCAAAAATAGTAAATCTTATTCAAAAAACCAACACAATTTCTGAAAACTTTTTCTTGTTTTTACTTATAAAATTAATTTTAAAACAGCAGGTTTTCGACAAACCGTCAGCTGAAGAAACAGAATAAAAAAGATGAAATTAAAATAAGAAATTTAAAGCATCTTTGAAAGCGATAAAAAGCGGAAAAAAAAGGAAACTGGAAAGTTTGCTGTTTGATGCTATCAATAACATCGCAAAAAATTTCTTATTCCTGTCGTACATTCTTAAGTTCTGTTTTCACACGCTTGCTTGAAGAAGTTTGTTTCTTACTGAAGATGCATTTTAATGTTTCTTACTGCATCATAGTGACTGAAGTCTATGTAAGTAATGCAAGCTTTTTCAGTCATACTTTTTGTAATCGCCTCAGTCAGTCACAGGCAAATTCTGGTGACCGGCAGCTTTGACCGGCATGCTTTAACGTTAAACTGCGTTTATGCTATTCCATAACAGCTTTTATTTGTCTTGGCAACCTTTGTAGAAAAAAGTTTTGAAAAAATGAAAAAATTTTCTTAACAAAGCAATAACTGCATTAGAAGGAGACTTTTTAAAGCACTTACTAGTGCTTAAGGAACGCTTAGAAAGAGGATGAACTGAAACTATTTTTTAAAAACAAACCCTAAACGCGTCCCGCTTTCAAAAGAACCTGATTACAGAAATGGTTGCAGTGCCATCAAGTCTGAACTTTGTCTGCCTTAAAATGACTAGCACGTAGCATACTTGATAGAAACCAAAGACTGCTTAATATAAAAAAAAAAAACTGCTGACTAAAAAAAAAAAGCTGTTGCTGAAAAAAAACTGCTGAAAAAACTGCTGACTAAAAATAATTATTTAACATTCTAAAATGGCTCTGTTCCACTATAAACCTAAACTTCTTTTCTTGAAAAAAAAAGACTTTAAATCTGTTGAAAGATATGAGATAATTGTGCTGTTCTATACCAGCTTCTTGTCTAAGCAATAAAGAAAAAAAGCGCATGCCACTGTCGTTTTTCTCTTGAACTAGTGCGTAAGATTAAAGACAGGATGAAAGTGCAGATACTGATATCAATAATCTTTTTTCTCAAAATACTAAAGATTTTCTTGAGAACTGTGGTTTGTTCTAAACTACCTTTGTTAACTGCTTTTGGTTTTATCTGTTTAGTCAAGAAGAGGACGAAAAGAAGGAAGTGACGTAAAGGAAACAAAGTGAGCTTATAGAGGAAAAGATTTTTCATCTTAAAAAAAAAGAGAAAAAAAGAAAACGAGAATCCACATCAGTCAACAGCGATAACTTCAGTCTATCTATTTTTTTAAAATTATTGCTTTGTTTTGCAACTATAAAACCGAAAACTACCTTTGTTAGATTATTCTGCAGCTTTTCCAACGCTTCAATAATTTTCAAATCATTTTTTTCACCCATCTCTGAGAAGACATCATTTTCACGTTTGTTATTTCCACAAGCGTAGTCAAAGAAATCAGCGCATGGATCTGCTTTTAAATTCATGCTTCTGTTAAAGCGATGAACGACATCCATATAAGAACGATAAATTTCGTCTTTTTGGCTTACTTCTTCAGCCTCTGCGATGTTCAGTTCATTCCTGGCTGCAGAGTTTTTACTACTAAAAGTTCCTAAAACTAATTTTCAAATATCTTTTTTTCTTGGTGTGTCTTTTCGTGCATCTGAAGCACGATAATT